AGAAGGTGTTCTGCCTTATCCTGACCTTGGGGAGGGTCACCGGGTTTTCATCATTAAACACCATGTTAGTTGGAGGCTTTTCATAGATGCCCTTTATGAAGTGACAGAAGTTTCCTTCTCATCCTAGTTTGTTAAATGTCTTTCTTTTTAATCATGAGGTAGTGTGGCTGTTTGTCAAGTGCTTTTTCTGCATCTGCAGATGACTCTGCGGATCCTCGCCCTTTGCTATTGCTTGGGCACCTTAGGTGGACGGCTTGTCACATTGAACCGTCCCTGCCTTAGGAAGCTGGCCCTGCTTGGGTGTGGCGTGCATTTCTTTTTATAGCTGGTGTGGTGTTCTTGGAGGATTTCGGTCTCTTCATAAGGAAAGAGTGTGTCTGCAGCRTGTTTTGTGATGCCTTCGTCTGGTTCTGGCATTTCGTGACATTCCATYGCATGCACTTTGCAGAGTAGTCGAGAGGCAGGTGAAGCCCCTTTCGGCAGGATTCTGGCCCGAGATGGGGGGGGGGTCCTGGTGTGTGGGTCCTGAGAGTGAGTTGAACACTTCTCTACCTTGATTTGAGCTGAGATTCTGACACTAGTTTGCTTTACCAGCTGGTTCACTTCTGGGCTGTAGGAGGGGGAGCTAGAGAGATTTGGGGGAGGCAGCACTCCCGGGCTCTTCCCATGGGTGTCCTTCTCCTTTGAGGAGCCTTTGCAATGCCCTTATAGGGTAAGGAGGTTACTCTGCAGTGGACAGGGTGAAGAGAGCAGGGAGGGAACTGTACAAGAGCCTAAGAGCCAGCCGCCATTGATTAATGGGGATTTGCCATTTTAACAGTGTCAGGTGTCAGGGGCCCAGTGGATGGGACCACCATGATAAGGTTGTGGCAATCCATTTTAAGTCACCCCATTTCCAGAATCGACGACAAAGTCGTACTGTTCAGTGGAAAAGCCCTGGGATAATTACCCATTTGTTAATGAGTTTTCATATAATAAGTTTTAATCTTGCAGGGCCCCATTTCCAGTCACATTTGCCCTGTGAACTGTCCTCATTATGAGCTCATRGGCCCTCTATTTTTCAGCCTGTTGTTAAGGGCCCAAAATTTACTTTYATTTATTTATTACTTTTTGTTGCTGGGGATTGAACCTAGGTCTTCAGGCATGCTAGGTAAGCACGCCTCCAGTGAGCCACACCCCTGGTGCTAATTTTAATTTATTCATTGTGTCAGAGCATCCAGGACCGACATAGAATATTTCACAGCAATGAGTATATGACTGTAGGAAATTAGGCAAAACTATGGTTATGGTGATGCATACTCTTTTATAAAAAATTAATATTTAGTTGCCTTTTCAATATTTTAGGGGCAGGGTTTAAATTTAGCAGGATCCCCAAGTAGAACTATAATCTATGCTCCAATAGGAAGTCCGTGAATTTTTGAGAACCATTGTGTTGTCATACATGTTAGAGTTTAGTTAGAACCTATACTGTGGGATCAAAAACCAATCGGTGTCCTTTAATTTTTTTTTTTTTGTACTAGGAATTGAACTTAGTAGTGTTTTTTTTTTTTTCACTGAACTATGTCCCCATCCCTTTTTATTTATTTTTAATTTTTATTTTGAGACAGTGTCTCACTAAGTTGCTTAGGGTCTTGCTAAGTTGCTGAGGCTGGCCTGGAACTTATGATCCTTGTGCCTCAGCCACCCAAGTCACTGGGATTACAAGCGTGCACCACTGGACCCAGCTAAAATTTTTTTGGTTGTAGAATTTTTTGGTATRTAAACTAATGCATGATTTTTGAATTTCAATGGAAACACATTAAGGAAAATGTATAAACATTTACCGATTTCATATTATATTTAAATATATGTGCATTTTTTTTTACTTGATTACCTTTTATTTCCCCAGATCCCTGGCGATCTGTTCCTAGATGACGTAAGTAATCGAGGTCCAGCATCACCGTCCCCACGCCTGGCATCTGCTCAGGACTTAAAGCTTCAGGTTTCCTTCCCCCCTGGGACTTGTTGCTGCCTAAGAACAGCAGGCTTCTTCATTTTTAGGTTTTTAGCCACCTGAAGCCAGGTTCTTAGCATCTGTCTGTGGTTGATAAGAAGAAAAAAGGGAGGAGGAAAGGGGCCCCGTGCCTCCAGGGAGGGCCCCACCACATGCTCCTCAGTTCCTGCGGGGGGGGGGGGGGGGGGGGGCATTCTTTCCCTTTTAAGTAAAATCTTTTGCATTTCTAAGTGACTAAAACTTTTTCCCTCTCCTCTCTCTCTACAGTTGCTGACCTCATCCGTTCCTGGTGGGACTGAGTCAAAAACAGGATTAGCCTGTTTTTTGACTTTATACTGATTGTTATAAGAAAAAAAAAAAAAAAATATATATATATATATATATATATATATATATATATATATATATATACACGTCTGACCTTGTGTTTGCTGGCCTCCTGGACAGCCACTTCCCTTTCCAGGTGTCCCAATCGACTCTGAGGGCTCAGGTCAGTGTCCCCCAGTGCGATTCTTCTTCTCCATCTTCCTGGTTCCCAGGCCCCACCTCTGCAGGCAGAGCACCCAGCAGGGCCTCTGCGGCTTCCTTGGGAGTTTGGCATTTACCTAAGAGCTGCTTTGACATCCTCTGGTGTCTGTGGTGGGACAGGGACCCAGTGTCCAGAGTATTTATATTTATCCATCAGAGTCTTAGCCATATGAGGCCAGGAATTAGACTCATGATACCCCCTGGGGCTGGGGACATGGGTGACAGGACCAAGGGACCCAGCAAGAAGGCAGGGTGGACCCCAGCAGGGGACACCCTTTCTAGCATTAGACCCACTGTACCCACTGCAGATACCTCCAGTCTGAATGGGGTCCCCCAGTGACACTTTGCTGCTGTCGCTCCCCACCACACCCCATGAGGAGAACCATGGGGCTCTGGGACGTTGTCCCCCAGTTGTTTCATTAGTGGGAGTGTTGCCCTGTGGTCTCAGGAGCTCACCTTGGCTCAGGCTGGGACAGAGAAATAGTTATTACTGGGGACAAGGGATTAGGAATGTCACACTTCACTCTAAGAGAGTTGCCTCGTGTGGGTACCTTCCCAGTCAGGGTCCCAGAGCCACCCTGGCCCTTGCTCTAGGCTAGAGTCCCWCTTGGGGTGGGCCAGATCACTTTGGGGAGCTCCGTCCCGGAGCGGAGAGGCTCTGACCGTCACTACATCTCTAGTGACCTGGACATTGCCCAGGTCCCAGAGGCTGAGGATGCATCTTCAGACGTAGGCGTGTCACCCCATGGATCCAGCTACACTCACCTGTTCCTTTGTGATACCACCCCTTTGTCCTGTTTGAGATAGAATGTTCCATGGAAACATCTGCTTTTGGGTGTGGCTACCTAGATGTCAGTCAACCTGCTGACAGTGGACATTATGAAACTAGACTCAGCCCCCTGAAACCTGACCCCTGGCCTCATTTGAATGGCTTCTCTTCAATAAAAGGAGTCAGTATGTGCGCTTGCTCTCTCTCTCTCTCTCTCTCTCTCTCTCTCTCTCTCTCTCTCTCTCTTTCTGTGGACCCTTAAGGTCTGAGGAGCTGTTACAGGACCCCAAAGAAAAAGATATCTCTGTCTCTTTGGGGGTTATTTTATGCAGCCGAGTTCCCCTGGAGTGAGCCTGAGTGTTTTAGTCGTGAGGAACACGACAGAGCATTATCACTGTCACTAACATTTTGGGGTGGACAGCCCAGGGGCACTCTACAGCAGAGGGGGTCAGTTGAACTGCAGGGAACAGCACCGCCTCCCCTGGTGGATGTTAGTAACCTCAGTAGCTCTGTGGTCCTAGCGAATCCGCAGAAGCACTCTCCGTCCTCCAATAGTTCAGACTGAGAACCTTCAAGGTGAAGAGCACCCCTCAATGATTAGCAGACACACAGGTGGAAATAAAGGTTTTCTTACTTACAGGTCCCGGTGGGTATGGGGCATGCCCAGAGGCCCCCCATATGCAGGCCAGGGAGTGAGTGGAGAGAGACCACGACTCGAGGACCAACACCTTTACGGGTCTTGGGCAGGTTTCACTCAGGGATTTTTTTAAAAAAAATATTTACTTTTTAGTTGGAGGTGGACGCAATATCTTTATTTCATTTTTATGTGATGCTGAGGATGGAACCCAGTGCCTCACGCATGCTAGGCAAGCGCTCTACTACTGAGCCACACCCCCAGCCCCTCACTCAGGGAATTGTAACTGCTGCCATTTAAAGCAAGCAGGCCTGAGTCCTGGGAGGTCACACTGTGATCAAGTGGTGGTAACAGTGACATATCTGCACAGTTCAGTGGGCCCAGTGAAGTGGACTGTGTTGGGCTGTCCCAAGGAAGATGGTCACTAGGAGGAAGTTGTATGAGTCAGATATCTGGATCCACCGCTTTGAGGAACTGGACACAGTGTCAGAGGTGACTAAGGCCTGCAGCTGGATTGAGAAAGTGAAAACTGTATTTAAAATGGATGTCGAGGCAGCAATTATAATTGACCACAATTATTTGCACAATTTTTTTGCAGGGGGGTACTGGGGATTGAACCTAGGGGCACTTTATCATTTTATCCCCATCTCTTTTTATTTTTTATTTTGAAGCAGGGTCTTGCTAAGAGTTACAAAGGGCTTGGTTAAGTTGCTGAGACTGGCCTCCAGCTTGTGATCCTCCTGCCTCAGCCTCCCACGTCACTGGAATTACAGGCGTGTGCCATGGCTCCCGGCTCACTTAAATTTTGTGAGGCTGAGAAGGTAAATACCACGGGTCTTAGAGAAGAGGAAATTGAGGTTCAAAGAAGCTTAATTGAATCTTGGGCCGTGGTCTCTGGATTCCTCATTGACGTATGCAATCAGAGTCAACAGTGATGGAACAAAGCATCTGACCCGGAACCTTCCAGGAATGGCCTCATGTCCTGTTGAGCAACTTTCCGGAGCCACTGTGTCAGGGTGGTGCCTTATAACTGACGCAGGAGCCCACAGGGGCAGTTGGAGCTGGAATCCCTGAAGGATGATGCTTTGGGGGCTACTGTGGACGCTGTTTTTTTCAGGTAAGGCAAGGGAGAGGTGCGAGCAGGTGAGACTTGTGGTTTGGACCCCAGGAGACCTTCTCTTTTTGAAGCACCAGAGCACCCGGCCACCCAAGACAAAGCCAACCAGCAGTTAAAGCAGTCTGAGCTTCTCTACCCAAGGTCTGCAGGACCAGGAGAATGCACAGGTCTGAGTACATAAATCAAAGAAGGGTGGAATTAGGGAAGAAAGATGTCTTTGATTTTTTTTTTTTTTGGCAGTCCTGGGGAGCGAACCCAGGTCCTCATGCATGCTAGGCATCTGTGCCCTCCCACTGAGGTATGTCCCCAGCATCCCTGTGCATTTTGCATTTGGATGTCAAAGACAGAAAAACCCTAGATGAAAATAATGATAGAGGAAATCTAACTCGGGTATGATCAGAAATAATTTTGTCTGATTTTGAAAAGCATTTTTCTCTTTTTTAAATTAGTACTTTTTAAAAATTATACAGAAAAATTGGACTTTATGTGTTCCATCATGGTGCTTTTAATGTGGACATCTGTTAACTCAAAAGATACCATATATTTAACAAGTATCTCCTGGGGCCTACTGTGAACCAGCAAATCTGCTACTGCTAAAGACACAGGTGGGAACAGAAGCAGCCTGGAGCCCGTTCTCCAGGAGGTTAGGATCCCTACTTTCTTTTGCGTGTTGGGGCTGGAGGGCCCTGTTGGGCAGGCTCAGCAGAGCTGATCCATCCCCAGCCCTACGGGTCTCTTACAATCTGCAGAGCATTTGGGGCGTTGCTGGTTCTTCCTCCTAATCAACCCGAATAAGAGAGGGGAAATGACAAGACTTTAAAAACAAGTTTTGCCTTGGGAAGAGATGGAAGCCCAGGGAGTGGCTGTCTCTGGGACCTACTGAGCAGGGTCAAGGGCAGCTACCTGGCGGTGCTTGCTTTGGATTTCCTTGGAGCTGGGGCTGTCACCGAGGCGAGTAGGAACTGGTTTCTCATGAACCAGTGCATTTGCTTTTATTTTACTTATGTTTTTCTGAAGGACAACTGGGAGAAGCAGAGGATTGAAGGTTGGGTACTTGTGAGAGAAAAAACCAGAGCTGTATATTTCATTATATACCCTACAGGGATAGGTTAGGGGTTCACCCCAAAGCCCCTCCCAGCTAGATGCCCATTCATCCTTGGGTGGGGATGCTCTAACTCTAATCAGACTACAGTGTTGGGCAATGTAGCTCAAAGGCTTAGCACAGACTGTGCTGACTCTCTAGGTTTGAATCCTGACTCCATCCCTTATTGCTGTGGGACCTTGGGCAAGTCACTTAGCTTCTCTGTCCCTCAGTTTCCTTATCCATAAAATAGGAATAACAGTGGCAACCTTATAAGTGATGAAGATTAAGTAAGATAATGCATTTAGCATATAATTCTTGGCAGATGGTAATTATTATTATTAGTATTTTTTTATTAGTGTGTTGAAAGGGTTTCCTTTCTTGTGATGGGGTACAGACTGCTTTTGAGCATATATTTCTGTCTTCTTTCGCAAGAGGTGGTCAAGTTTCTAAAAAGAGTGGAAATCCATCTGTAACATTAATGTGGGAAGTTAGGTCTTCCTTGGTGGCAACCAGAAGTTGGAGTCGGTGTGTCTTTCACAAAGTCCAGCACAGTTTCTGGCACAGAGAAGGCTTTCAGCCATAGTTCTATAAATGAGGAACTAAACTTGGTTTACGATATCTCTCCACCTCTGCTCACCATCTTTTGTGGGGGGTATTCCTGGCCTGGGTGCATAGACATTGCATGGGAAAACCTTCGAAAGGTTTCCTTAGAAGTGAATTGGCCTTCCAGCTCTGCTTCACCTTCAAAGCCCCAGGAGCCCCTGAGGAGGGTCTTCCTAAGGTCAGGTTGAGATAGGCAGGGCCTCGGGAGCCTGGCCTGGCCAACAGGGAAGGTAGGCACTTCACTTAAGGGACAACTCTTGGCGTTGTTCACGGGGGCACTCCTGAACTACCACGGAGGATAAAAGTGCCTGGAGGTGCAGTCATGGTGTTGAGAACAGCGATGGTGATTGCAGGTAGGGGTGGCCTGACCCACGGTTTGCCCCGGCATTACTGTCCAACCTGTTCCTGGTGTTCCTTGGAGCAAGGTGTCTCCAGGCCTGAGTGGACACACTGTGGTCCCTTAGTGAACCACAGAGCCCCGAGTGTCCCCTTGGAAGCACAGGCAGGATCTTCTGCACCTCCATCGGCAAGCCCTGCTTGGACTAGAGCAGAAAAAATCACTCTTACTGTTCCTGTAAACCCGGGTTCTCAAAGTCAGCACTCCTGATATTTTGGCCACTCTCGCTTTTCTGTACTTATTAGATGCCAGCAGCATCCACCTCCATCCCTGGTTATAACCACAGCAGTGTCTCCGGACATTGCTCAGTGACCCTGGGGGAGGGAGGAGGACTTGTCCCCAGTGGAGGAACAATGCTGTGTCTCCTTGTCAAAAACAGGAGGAGGGGTCTCTCGGCTGGGGTACTGGGGGAGCTCAGGGGTGCGGTCTTGGACAGGTAACACCGTCGGCTCGCTCCCTCGGCCTCCGGCCTCATTCTCGGGCAGCCGTTTCCACGTGGTAGAAAGACGGCTGCGGAAGTCCACAACCGCATTCCCAGCCCAAGCCCGAAGAAACGTTTTTTACCCTCTGAATAGCCGTAGCAGTCTCGGGGAGGATTCTGATTGGCTCAACTGATGACATGCGCCCGGGGAGGATTCTGATTGGCTCAGCTGATGACCAATCAGTGTGGCCAGGGCCAGGGGGAACTTTTAATTGGCCGGTTGGTGGGGCTGTGCTTGAGAATGTGGGTGGGCCCATGGGTAAGCCACTTAAGAGGGGCTACCCAAGGAAGGAAGAGCGCTGGAGGGAACTGTCGGGTCCCCTGTCCACCGTGTCCTCAGAATAGCCTCCTCACTGTTTGTTCAGTGGTCTCTTTGATCTCTTTCCCCTGACTTAGCTGAAGTCCTCAAGCTTCCTGGAGAATGGCTCTCTGCTGGTATCATGTCTTCCTCGCCTCTCTTCACCCCATGCCCCTCTCTATACCCTCTGCCATGCCTCAGCCACCAAGATCTCTGTACAGCATCCCTTGTTCTGTCCCCCATCAGGCACTTACTTCCTCTCAAAAGGATCATTTATCAAATTAGATTTTCATGGACTCTGCTCAGCGTGGCTCTTGTCATAAAAAACAAAACCAACACTTTGTGGTGGAGAGATTAGTGTCCAGTGTGGCTTAAAAAGAAAGATGCCTCTTCTCCAGAGGCCTCAAGGACCTCATCTGAAAAATGGGTGGTTAGACAAGAAAACGAGCTGGCTCCTCTCCTTTTCTTTCCCAACTCTTCATGACAGAGACTAACTGTGTTTTCCTGCTTATAGGACTCCAAGCTGCTGCTCAGTCAAAAGAGGAAGAGTATGTCCTACAAGAGGGGGAGACCCTGACAGTGGACTGTCCCTCCAACATGAAGTATGCCTACAGCCAGAAGGCTTGGCAGAGGTTGAGGAATGGGGAGGAGCCCCAGACACTGGCTGTCACAGAAAGATCTCAGGGGACACTCAATCAAATCCAGGTGGGGAGGTACCTTCTCAAAGATGACCCTCCGGAGTCCATGTTTCAGGTCCGAATGATCAACCTTCAAGTGGAGGACTCAGGACTGTATCGGTGTGTGGTCTACTATCCTCCTCCCAAGGAGCCTGTCCTCCTGTTCCATCCTGTCCGCCTGGTGGTGACTGCCGGTGAGTGACCTGGGAGTGGATGGATGTGGTGGTGTCACCAGCAGAGCTCAGGAGTCCTAGCCAGCCAGCTTTCTCCCAGAAGCTCCTTGTCTGCTCTGTGAGGCCCTAAACAGGCATTTCACACACAGCAAGCAGGGGCTTCTAAGCATGGATTCCCTTTGGGTTGCAGAGCCTAATTTAGGGTACAGTTATAGGAAGTGGGGTGCTATAAAAGGTGAGCAGTAGATATGGGAGAATTTACTCCCCTATCTCAAGTCTCCACTTAGAAGGCATATCCTTGGGAAGCCTCCTGTGACTTCCCTGTCCTCCTCCCAAGAATGCATGAGATGCTTTTAAGACAGTGCACCCTAGACCTCCCAGGGAGTGTCAGCTGCGTGAGGGTCTCATTTTAAATACAGATCCTGACTTGGTAGGCCCAAGGTGACTCCCACTTGTCAGGAGCATGTCTCCAGGCTCATTCGGGGTCCTTCTGTGGACAATATGATCTCATGGGGGAGTAGTGACTGGTTTACTTATCTGTCTCCCTTATCAATCTCCAAACTCCTTGAGAAAGGGCCTTTGCCTTGTTGGGCTCTCTGCCTCCAGCAACTAATATTACATGAACTAAGGAAGACAGAGGAAAGGCAGACAGGTTGAAGTTCCTAGCACTAGGGGAATTCTAAGCCTAAGTCATGGCACATATGCAGTGGATTAATACAAGGTAACTTATTCTTTTAAGTTGTCAATGGATCCTTATTTTTATTTATTTGTATGTGGTGCTGAGAATCCAACCCAGTGCCTCACACATGCTAGGCAAGCACTCTACCACTGAGCCACAGCCCCAGCCCACAAGATAACTTTTAAAGTAATATGTACTTATAAGAGGTAGAGTGAATGGGATAAGATAGAATAACAAGGGAATTATTCTTGGAAAAAGGAGGGGCATATAGATAAGTAAAGAAGAGCAGGCACGTACATTTCCAGTAACCCAGATACCCTGAGAGCTCCTTTCTCCTTCTCCCTTCCTTCCCTTGCTTCCTCCGTTTCTCTCTTCCTCCTTCCTATCTCTGACTGAGGCTAACCTTATACTACATTTTTGGTTTTTGCAAAGGAAAACCTTGCTTCTTGAAAGGTCACTTTCATCTTCCTCCGTGGCTCCATCTACTTGCCACCTATTCATCCATCTATTCATCCATCTATCCACCTACTCATTCATCCATCCATCCATCTATCCATCCATCCAATGTGCTTCTTGCAGATCCTTCAACTAAGCGTACCTCTGACAAGAATTCTACCCCTAAATTGGCTCCTACTACCATCCGTCCTACCACCCTTCCTCCCACGAAGACCCTGAGAACGTTCTATACCAGCTCCAGAACTGTGGTCCAATCCCTACCCATGCCAACAGCTGTCATCCCTCCGAACATCACAGTCAACCCTACAGATGCCATCAGGTATGGTTTCCAGGCCTGGGACTCCTGGTTTGGACACCAAATCCTTTGTTCCCCAGTCCACGTGCTTAGAGGATGTGGTGGAAGAGGGATGGGGGTAGGTGGGGAGGGTGGGGCAAGCGTTGCTTCAGTCTGGGTGGAAATTCCCAGGGAAGGAAGGGGGTGGTGGTAGAGTGAGGAGGAGACTCTGAACAAGGGTGCCATTTTCCTCAGCTCACCCTCCTCCTGCCTTGGACAACGAAGTGATGAGGAGAGGAAAATCCCAGGTGATCCAGTCTAATAGTGCAATGGAAGAAGCATTGTGAGTTAGGGACCCTGGTTTCTTGTGTCAGGCAAACTAACTGTGTGATTTGGGGCAGGTCAGGACCCTCTCTGGCTTCAGTGTCCTGTTGGTACAGCAGGCATGCTAAAAAACTGGAAAGGATCATGTAGCTCCATAGCAGCTTTAGGTTATGATTGTCTAAAGCATTTGTCTTTGTCTTATTTTGTTTGATTTTATTTGCTTTGTTTCATTTTAACACTGGTGTAAATATTCTACCATAGACCAATGGAAAGAAAATTTCTGGAGGTGGGTCCAGTCTTAGTACATTTAAATTAATTTTTCAGGAGATTTCTAAAGTGTAGGTGTGTTAGTCAGCTTTCTGTGACTGTAACAAATACCTGAGGTTTATAAAGAGGAAAGGTTTATTTTGGCCCAACGCTTTGGACGTATCAGTCCAGGATTGGTTGACCTTATGGCTTTTGGGCCTGGGTTGAGGCAATACATCACAGTGGCAATGCCTGGCAAAACCTTATGATCAGGACATAGAAAAAAAGGAAGAGAAAGGGGTGGGGGTCCCACTCTCCCTTTCAAGGGCATGACTTTAATGACCTAAACACCTTCCACCAGATCTCATTTCTCAAGGTTTCCATGACTTCTCAATAGTGCCAATGTGGGGACCAAGCCTTTAATATATGGGACTTTGGAAAACACCTCAGATCCAAACAATAGCAGCAAAGAGCCACTGAGTTGGCATGAACACCTCGCTTTACAGTTGTTATTAAATGCTGATTTATCTTAGAACGTGTTATCATTAAATATTGAATTAACAGAGAAAGAAATATTCTTCCATATTCCCACTAATGATATGTCTTTCCCCTGTCTTCTCACCTGATCCTCATTCACGCTTCATATTTCACATGGTGCTAATTCTAATTATACCCATTGCATCATTTTTCCTGCTCCGATTATCCTTCAATGTTGTTAAGTAGTCTTCCTCAAATTAGAATTTCAATGGGCACATACTTTTCTGTCCATTGAAAAAATCATCAAGTACCTAGTTATTTGCCTATTCTTAGTCATTGATGTTGTCATCAGAAAATCGTTTATTCAAACAAAATTTCCATGGGAGAATTTGAACACATGTATCATTCTGCATCCACGTCTTATAGATAAATGGTCTTCCAAATGATCGGACAGAATTTGCAGGTGATCCATAATGCGTAAGTGTCACCGCAGGTTGCCAACGTGGGTTTAGTGTTGTAACAATATTCCTGCTGGGGCAGGGGCCATAACTCAGTAGCTCAGCATGTGTGCTCAGCATGCACAAGGCCCTGGGTTTAATTCTCAGCATCAAGGGGAGAAAAAAATTCCTGGTAACCATCTTCACTTCTTCATTAATGTGGACTCCTGCTCCAGGAAGGTAGAGACAGTGATTTTTCTGTTTAATGTTGGGACTAAATTTATTTCCTCTTTACTTATCATTACCACGTTACCCATGATGCAGTGTGTGTACTAGGTAATATATTTCCTTACTTTCTTAATTTCTACATTATTAAAAGGATTACCCATAGTCTGGAACTGGTTAGCTTACAGGATGTAGGTCAGCTGGAGATCAGCTACTCAGTTTCCATTCTTATGAGAGTGGGCAATGACTTATCTATCTTCCTCCTTAGGTAGTTTTACTCACACAGCCTGAGTGCCTGGTACATAATAGGTGCTCATTTAAACTTTGTAGATTAAATAAAATAATCTAGTGTGAGTTAACGCTTTTCTGTCTTCACTACTTTTACTTTTCAATAGGTAGAGAATGTAGGCATCTTCGCCAACATTCCTAGAAGAGACTGTACCTCTTTTTACCTGTTAACTCTATTAACTAATATTAACTATTCTGCTGGTCAGAAGTCACCGATAGCTGTTTGAGAAAGAAGGAGTGGTTAGCCCTGGTGACGAAAGAGTGGAGGCCCCAACCTGGAGGTGGTGAGGCCCTGGAGGGGGGGATCCGAGCACCCTGTCTCAGGGTTATTGTGTGAGGGACAGGCTGTGGGGAAAACAGTCCTGTTCAAGTGTTTTAGGAAGTGATCACTGGCAGAGCCACTAAGGAAGTGGGACTGCAAAGGGAAGAAAATAAGTGGTTTCACAGGGACAGCTTTGGTTTTTCAAGGAAGGTCTGGGTGACACAGAGGTGTCCCTATGCTGGAAACCTCAAGTATTGGTATTTCTGCATTCACAGTCACTGGGTAGAGGGGCTCTAAGCAATGGGTGGGGCCCATGAATTCCCAGGCACCCCAGAGCTCTGGGGACTTGTGTGCAGCCTCTGAAAGACATGAGATGATGGTCCAGTGGGGGTGGGTGCCCCCCAGGATCCTTGGGCATGAAAACAAACAGCTCCAGGGTATCAGGCAGAGTCCTAGGGAGGGAGTGGGGTGAGTGAAGCTCAGAAACCAGGGCTCTCTGCAGGAAGGCTCTACCAGGGCAGAGGCTGGCATCCTGGTGGGTACCGTTGCAACCACGAGACAGATGCTGGCTTCCCTGTCCCCAGGGCCTGGATGCTAGCACCACTGGTTGCTGAACTTGACCAGGCATCCTTGGGAACGCAGTCCCGGGTGATACAGGACAAGGTGGAGACTAGGGTAGATGTCAGCACAGACGGGCAGTTTGTCTCTTGCTGGGATGATTCTGTCTGCTAGTTTGTACATCCAATTTTAAGTTTCGAATGGATAATGTGTGCTAGTTTGAAAATTATTGCTTTGTTTTATTCCTTAAATGTGCTCAATTCTGTTTCCTGGTGATTTTTTCTGTGGTTTTGTTTTTCGATTTATTTAAATTTTCCATCCAGGGTTGGGGAGTGGAATTGAAGAAAGATTACTGTTTCTTCCCACTGTTATGGAACAGATAGTTATGAAAGAATCCTTGCTTTGCCCACAGGGCTGCTGATTCCCTTAGATGTTAAATTCTTATATAATATTACAATGTTCTCTGGCCTCTGTTCCGTTGCTGCCTCTTCCTCTCCTCGTCCCTGTGTCTCAGCGGGTGGAGGACTTGCCTTGACATCTGCTTCCGGATCTGCTGATGGGATGCCCCTGTCCCTGCTCTCACTGGGTCTCTTTCTCATGGTATCTACTGATGTCTACTTGGGACTTGTAGAATCATTTTGCTAACATCTAGACAAATCTGAGATTGGATTTTCTCTAGGATTGGATTCTTCTTGATTTATAAACGAGGAAACAGAGGCTAAATGCAGGGGATGGGGGTGGAGGTGAGGGGAGGGGAGGCAACCATCCCAGAAAGCAGGTCACGGTGCTGAGGACAGAGATGAGCTGAGCTTTCCTGGCCCAGGGCCCTCTCTCTCTGCCGCATCCAAGGCAAGATGAAGGTCATCTGGACGTGAACCCTATACTTTTACTAAACACACACTCTCTCTCTCTCTCTCTCTCTCTCTCCCTCCCACAGGCTCTCTGTGTTCAGCATTGTCGTTCCTGTGGCCTGTGGAATCCTCATTAAGAGCCTGGTCTTCACTGTCCTGTTTGTTGTCACTCAGAGGTCATTTGGACTCTAGACCCAGGAACCCACGACAGTGACCCTGACCTCCATCCATGTCCACCTGGCAGGTGTTGGAAGCTGAGTGGAGAGGGACCTGAATCGAATCTGTGCCCTCAGGTGATTCCTAGGCCAGGATTGCCCACTCCCTGGCCCTGTCCACACAGATGACCCTCAGAAGAGAAGATGTGGCTCCCGGCAGGACCCAGCTCCATTCCATCTGCAGCTTGGCGTGAGATCAAGACAGAGCCCAGTGCTTTCCACTGTCCCTCTCCTGCGGGGTTGTGAGGCTGAGTGGGCACAGCTGATCTTGCTGCCCCGTGTCCTTACCCTGGACTATACAATTTAGGCCACATGGACAGAACTTAGAAGCGTCCTCCTTCCCCCGCCACTGGAGCGAGCCCCCCTCTCTCGAGAATCAGATGCCTGGTTTCTCCTTTCATCGTGATTGTCCCAACATTCCTACCCATGGAACGAGGAGAAGAGAAGAGGCCATGGTGCGAATTAAGTAACTGGGAAAGAGAAAGTGACGCTGACGGCTTGTCCCGGGAAAGCACAGGAGACAAGATGGGCGTGTAGGGCAATGGGTGGATGGAACCCGCCTCCTCCCCGGGTGCGCTTTGTCTCTGGACCCTGAAGCTAACCCATGAAGGTGGAGGTGTATGTGACCAAGGCGAGGCCACGAGAGTCCCACCTACTGGCAGGAAGGAAAACCAACTCTTCCGCTGAGGGGATCCATAGCCACGTGGAGAGCAAGGAGTTCTGCCTCTCGTCCTTGAATCACATGAGGGGCAGGCATGGCAGGGTGACAGTAGCCCACCACTGAGGCTCTGGAGGCTGTCCCTTGTGGGCCCCTTACCTCTCACTCACCATCCTCCTCCATTTGGTCTGCATCCAACTCCCCTGATGGCTCCCATGCTGTCTCTGCGACCCTCCCACTGTGCCCCATGAAATAGGTATGCAGGCCACCTGGGTGTGTCCCCCAGCCTCATACCAGGACTTCCTATCTCCCACCTTTGGGTTCTAAAGCAAAAGGGTCCTTCCAATTCACCAATGGTCAAGGTCATTTTCATCCTAAAGCCTCCAAGAGCAAACACACCTTGCCACGTAGCATCTGTCTCATGCCAGAAAAATATATTCCTATAACCTCCAAGACTTTCCCCTCCTCCTGTGGGGGAAAAAATACCTAGTTCTCTGGTGCATCCTTCCATCCCATGAGAACCCCCTTCTAATGAATATCGCACTGTCTGAACCTACCCAGGGATGGCACTGACCTCAGAGATGATTTCTGATCCCCCCGTTTTGAGTCCATTTGAAGAGGTGTGAGTGGAATTCAGTTCATCCTGGAGCTCTGGCCAGTCTGCAGAGAAGAGAGAAGGACTTATCTAGAAGCTGAGCATCTCAGCTCCTTCCCTGTCTTGAACTGAGCAGCTCAGATGCAGCGACTATGTGACACAGTGTTTGCATCCTGAGGTGGTTGGTCTGGGACCTGCATTTTAGCAGTTTCAATGTTGCTCCACTTTATGAAGGTGACAAAAAAAAAAAAAAAAAAAAACAGGTCGCGGGGGGGGGGGGGGGGGGGGGACACTGTAATTAGATGCTGTCCAGAAGAGGCAGGACACACTGGAGCAGTGTTTCCCAAATGGCATCCCTTAGAACACCTGCATTGCATTATCCAGAAGCAAAAGACACATGCTCAGCTTCCGGGGCTCCTGCGGACTTGTCGCATCATAGCATACAGTTCTCTTCATGCTTCTCAGGTTTGTTTCAAAGAAATCATAATGCTGTCTGTTAAACACCATGACATCCAGTTGCATGGCTTGGTGAGTCATTGAATTATAGGTTAAGTTGTATTTAAGTCCAATAAATGACATTTGCCTGGAAAGTTCTGTGCACTACATTACATTGGAAGACAAGCGGTCGTGCTGGACACTCTCGAGTGCATGCCTGGGAACCTGCCCATGTGTGCCAAGTCAACAGGCTCTGTCAGGCACCACCTTCTGGCTGGGTTTAGCCAATGGGCAGCAGGAGAAGATAGCAGAGGGTGGGAAGAGTCGAGGCCAGGGAGTGGCATAGGTGCTTGCATTCACTCTGAAGGTTCCCTCAAGCCCCTCACCAAATGGCCACTAGCTCCAAGTTCAGGTGACTGCTCCATCCTCTCACCCTGCAGATCTGTAGGTGGTGACAGCTCACCATGGCCACCAGATTCAGCTACTGCAGCATCCCATATTGGCTTCCCCAAATGCACGTATCTTTATTAAATGTTCCTTAGTTATTCAGTCTTAGTGAGCCTTCTGCTTCTTGCTGGAAACTTGGCTGACAAAACGATACCGTGTCTGGGTTTGAGTCCCAGCTCTGCATTCTTGCAGTCAGTATGTCTGATCTGGAGTGACTCCATTTTCTGGGCCTCAGTATGCCTCATGGCCTCTAAGGGCACAGGGCCACCTAAGCAATGTCAGTGATGGTTGTCAAGACCAACAACAGCATTCTACTTGGGCTATACTGATAGCAGAGGGATTGCAGAGGGAGCCTGGGAGCTCACAGGGTCAATGAGGAGGCTGGAGAGCCAGGTTTAGAAAATCGGTAGATTTTTCCCCAAGAGGGAAGGCAGAGCAGAGGCCCCAGCTGGGATTATGCAGGAGATGATCTGGCGATGTTTCTCTGGACACATGAAGTCACCAGCCACTTACTATATGCTGTTCCTGGACTCCGAATGCTTAAATTGCCTCTGTGTAAGTCATCTCCACGGGCCCTGAATCTTGAATCAATCCAGTTCTCAGGATCCAGAATCCTCGGTGAAATCATGCATTTTGCTGAGCTTAGGTCAGTGCCTGTGGGCATGTCATAGCTGACCGGAAGAAGTGTGGGAGGAATATTTGCCTTCCTACTTAACAGAAGGGGAAGCAGAGGTCCATAGTTCAGGAAAACTTATGCATTGGGCCACATTCACCTTTCCAGTACAGTATTTGGTGCCAGAGAGTCAAAAGATGACAAGCATCCATTGCATACTCTTGCAGCACTGACTGGATTAAGTGAGAGAACTGAAGTAAATGCCCAGGGCTTCCTTGTGGTCATTCTCCTGTCACTATTATAGCTGTGGTGTCCGTGTCTATGCCCTGACTGGGTTGCTTGGGGAAGTCTACATCCTACACAGGCAGAGCTCAGAACAGGCCTCAAGGTGCATCTGACTGCAAACAGGGCTTTTGCAAGCATGGTCTATTTGGACACCTGCCTCAGAGTCACTTAGGCTGTTTGCTACCAGGCAGACTCCTGGGTGTCTCTGCAGGCCTGCCAACTCAGAGTCCTGGCATGTGTGTGTGTGTGTGTGTGTGTATGTACCACCAGGCTTCTGGAGTGATTCAGCCACCTGCCCATACCTGAGAACCATGGTGTGGAATAAGACTGGCGAAGATGTTGTCATCTGAAAGCTCAACCCAGGCCTTAGAGGGTGGGCACAGTTTGGATGCCCAGTGTCATTTCAGATGGGGACTGTGGTGTGCGGGTTGGCGGGATGTGGTGGGCAGTGGCCAGTTGATGGCAGTGTTTTGGTGACTAGAGGCACAGAGTGGAACAGAGGGGGGACCCCACACGGATGGGGATAGATGTGCTGTGGTGGAGAACGGGGAGCTGCTGAGTGTTTCGCAACACGACTGTGACATAATAGAGGTAGGAAGGACGCTGTCTCTTCACCTTCTGCTTTTTCCTGGGCTGTTCCCTTGTTACATTTCCCTCAGGGTTTCTCAATCTGAAGAAACAGCAGCACCTCTGGGGGACAACCGTAGACACYCCCCCTGGGGCAAGGTCCTCCTGCTGCTCGAGAGGCCCTGGCAGACAGAAGACTCAGGGAGGAGGACGGGATGCAGGGGGCAGGCCAGCAGAGGTGGCCACTGCTGGGGCTGCTGCTGCTGCTGCTCTGTGTCTCAGGTAAGGGCAGGAGGGTGAGGGGTGGGAGGGGCAGCTCAGGGCTAGGGGCGGAGACCATCTGGAGGAACGAGGCGGCTAAGAGGAACTTTCTCTCATTTCTTTAGAATGGACTGGAATGAGATCAGGGCCTGTGCTAGAGGTAGGTCAGGGGAAAGGAAGGCAACAGACGCAGAGCACGCTGTCCACCCTGGTCCGKCAGGGACTGTGCCATAAGACAGGTTGGAGGTTCTTCTGGGGCATCTTGAAGTTGAGGATGTGATGTGGAGCCAGCCAAGCCATCTCCCAGCACCACGCTGGCATCCCGGGAGATGCATAGAAATGCAAAGCCAATCTCCCTTTGGAGGAACATGTTCTGTCAGGAGGCAGAGGAGGCATGCAGAGAGGAAAAGGTAAATAGGCACCAAGGGCAGAGTAGCAAGAGGGACACAAAACGGAAATGCAAATCACTCTAGCAAGGCTCCGAGAAGGAAGGTGGAGTCCGAGCTGCATTGGAATCCCATCTCTACCACTTTCTGACCTCAGGCAGTTCCCCTAACCTCCCCGAGCCTCAGTTCCTTCATTTGTAAATAGTGCCCAGACACAGGTGCTCATTTTGTGGATGGCGTGTACATCAGAAAGTTGCCCTAAGAATCAAACAAACAACAGATGGGTGGGAAGCTCCTGGCTCAGGGTTTAGGGCATAGTAAGTGCTTAATAAAAGCTATGGATGATGACGCCGGTATCACCAGGTTTGGGGTGATGCGTAGTATTGAGGGCCAAGAAGGGAAAGAGGAGAGTGTCAGCAGGGACTGTTCTGGTGGGCTCCCCTCTGGATCAATGGAATGGAGACAAACAGAGAGGGTGGAGGACTCGGCTTCTTGGGGACACCAGTAAAGTGCGGGACTTCTCCCTCTAGGGCTCCAAGCTGAGGGTGAAAGTGAGGAGCAGAAGTGCCTGCAGGAGGGCAGGAACCTGACGGTGACCTGTCCTTACAACATCAACAAGTACGCCTTCAGCCTGAAGGCCTGGCAGCGGGTGAGGAGCAACGGACTTCTGGAGACTCTGGTGATCACGGAGACTAGAAATGCAGACCTAAACGTGGCCCAGGCTGGGAGGTACCTGCTGGAGGATTATCCCACTGAAGCCATCATCAGAGTCACCATGACCGGGCTCCAGAGGGGGGAYGCGGGGCTGTACCAGTGCGTGATCCACCTCACCTCTCAGAACCTTGTCATCCTGCACCATCGGATTCGGCTAGTGCAGTGCAGTGGTGAGCATCAGGGAGACCCAGGACTCCCGGGGAGGGTCTCCTCAGGCACACAGGGTGGGCTGGGACCCTATCTGCCACGAGGGCTTGCTGCCCAGAGAGTAACGGGGAAATTCCAGACCCAAAGTCAGGGCACCTGGGCCTTCCATTCTCTTGCTTTGTGACTTTGAGACTCAGAAACACAACTCCTCTCTGAGCCTCAGTTTTCTCACCTGTGAAACAAGAAAGTTGGACGCGGTGAACGAAAACAYCACCGGACTCTGTGGGAAACTGGCAGTTACTGGGACTTGCGAGGTGCCAGGCTGATCTGGGAGAGCTGCTCTCAGTGTGAGGGGACACTCCAGAGGGTAACTCACCTGGTCCTTTGGCAGACAGGTGGAGCAGCTGGGCCCCCACAGGACTCACTCGATTTTCTTGTCCCTGGAGAATCTGTGAAATGGGCTCATTTTGACAGTAAGGCGCTGTCCCTTTTCTCAATGGACTTAAAAAGTAGTAGKGAGCACAGTGAAGGGCTTTTCACCGACCTTTAGTTACTTCTTGTTGGCGAGGACACCCCTTTGTTAAAAAAGCCTGTCAGCCCACGTGGGGACGTGGCGTGGGAGGGGATGTCCAACGCTTTTGCCTCAACCTTCTCAGTTGAGCTCCTTTGGAGCTGTGGTTCAGGTGGCCTCCACCACCGTGGGGTCTTGCTCTTCTGCCAGCCTGAACATACGACTCTCAGGACAGGATTGGGTCCAAGTCACACTTCTTAGGATCTGTAAATAGAGCTAGCAGGCAAAGGGAGGGCATTGCAGGTAGAACCTCAGGAACAGAGTCAAACAATTCCTCAAAGCTTGGAGCATGCTGTGGCCCCAGTAGTTAACAAAGGGTTCTCATAGTTAAGCAGCTCCAGGAATATTTTATTAATTCGGCCATAGTCCTTGAAAACTCAAAGAACTGAAACTGCAGTCTTTACAAGGGAAGTGTGACCATTGCAGATTGCATGTGACAGAAGGTTCTGGATCCTTCTTTGACTTGAATATACCTAGTGAGCTTGGGCAAGTCCCACACTATTTCTAGGCTGCAGTAAACTGATGGGCTTCTTCACTGTGATACTCAGTGGCTCCAGTGTTTGGGTTCCTCTGTATTTACTGAGGTAGGAGACACAAGGGCCCTACATTCACACTTGGCAAAGTCGGCGGCCCTAGGTGCCAGTGGGTGGATTGCTGTCCTTTTAACTTTTTTTTTTTTTCAGCTCTGGGGTGGGGGGATCAAACCCAGGGCTTAGTGYGGAATAGTCAAGCACCCTGCCACTGAGCTACATCCTCAACCCTATTATTTTATTTTAAGACAGGGTCTCACTGAGTTGCTCAGGCTTGTCTCAAATTTGCAATTCTCCTGCCCCAACCTCCTGAGTGGCTGGGATTAATTATGGTGAGAGCCATCATGCCTGGCTAACTCAAACCTTAATAAAGACAGGAGAAGTGATTGAGAGTGACTGAGCCCATGCTAGTCAAGAAGAAGTGTATCAAGTTAACACAGGATAAACCGAAACATAATTATTTCCCTCAAACCACAAATAACACGGAGTAACATTTTGATAGCAGCTTTRCATTCCTTCTCTCCAGTAATTGAGGAAACTTTAGGCTAATGTGGCGGTGGAAATGACATCTTGCAGATTGTCCCTGCCTAGAGGAATTGCAGGGGGAAAAGATAGAAGCCTCCACAAGGACACCTGTAGTGATCACTGAGGTTGTTCGGAGAGCGTAAGAGAGTCAGGGACTGGGTTTTGTTCAGCTAGGTTAAGTAAATAGTTGGGGGTATCTTTCTGGCGTGCTGTTGAGCCCCCTAAAGGACACTCCTCCATGGACAGTGGAGATGCCTTCTCTATTTATTCTTCAGCTTGTGAGGTGGGGGAGGATACAGCAGTGACTGAGCTCAGAAAGAAACCCAYGTAATGGGAGGCTGTTGGGAGGTGATGGATGTTGTCCCATCAACCCCAAATTAGGAAGTGAATCCTGGTGTGGGGATTTGAGGGGAGAGAAAGGTGGGCTGCAGAGGGCATGAGGAGGGAGCTCCCTGCCCTCCCTGATGGACAAGATCCATCACCAACAGGAAGTAAGTCCAGGAGGAGGTTGTGGGCATGGGGTGTGGGTTGGCTGGACCGTGATGGGCTGAGTGGAGGAGGGGCTGAGAGCTGAAGAACTGGGCCAGGTGCCCTGGATGAGGCTCTGAAGGCTGAGAGCAGCAGGGTGTCACACACATACACAGGCACAGGGTTGGGAGGCCCGGGCCTAGGGGCTGACTCTGTTGCTCTCCACTGTGTGACTGTGGACACCCCCTGTCCACCCTGCTCCTTGGGAGGGTGGATTGGTGGTGTTGAACCCCCCTACCTTTGGCCTTCTGGGACTATGTGAACCTTTCCCCCACACACACTTGTGGACGCCAGAGGATCAGGCTGGACCACCCAGAGGACTGCCAGGGGGTCCTGAACACAAGCAGGAAGAATGACCTTCATGTAGATTTCTATCCCAAGGCCCCACCCAAGCCTTGGGTGCTGGTCTATCAAGGTGGCATCCAGCAGCCCCAGAGAGAGGGTGGTCAGAGGAGCTAATGTCAAACGGGCTTCGGGCTTCGGTACCCCTGTGGACAAGGGGCTGCACCTAGGAGGGGTGGCCTCCTGGCTAGTGCAGTCTGAGCAATAGGAAGACTCTGACTTGGAGCTAAGGAAGGCGTGAGAGAAGCCCTTCCTTACAGAGCAGCTCTAAGCACCCCATGAGCAGAGACCCTCAGAGCCCTGGGTGGGGTGGAGCCAGAGGTGGGTACCAGAAACCTCAGAGGTGGCAGAGGAGTTAGAAAGGGCAGAGGGAGGTGGGGGACTGACGTTGGAGAGAAGAGGGAGCAGGGGGTGGAGATGTGTCCTCTACAAAGCCCGAAGACTGAGTGGAGTGGAGCCATTGGGTGGGGTCAAGCAGGACAACACATTCAGGTCCCAGGGAGCCTTGAACGTCTGGCAGTCATGCCCTTTGGGCTGTAGGCAATGGGAACACGAAGGGCCTCCTTGGGCTCCTTGGTGGAAAGGGAGATCAGCACAGCTGTGTGCAGGAGGTGGGGTGGGGGCGGGGCTGGTGGCAGGAGACAGTTAGGTTCCTCTGGGGTGAGAGCGGGGTGGAGGCTGGGGAAGGTGGAGTCCTCATCTGCACAGGGTATAAAAAYCTGCTTGGCGGCTCTCGTAGCCAAGAGGCAGGAAGCAGGGGCCTTCAGAGCTGTCCACTCAATAGGCACTCACCCTTTGGGTTCAGGAGGGTCAGGTGGAGGGAGTCACGCTTGCCTTTGACCTGCAGGACTTCTGGAGCTGCCCAGTGTTCCTGCTCTGATTTTTGTGGCCTGCGGATTCGTCTTGAACAAGGGCCTGGTGTTCTCAGTCCTGTTTGTCCTCCTCCGGAAGCCCAGGCCTCAGGTACGTGGCCAGACTTAAGGTGAAACAAAGGCAGGACAGAGACACCTGCTCCAGATGCTGGGGAGGGTGGGATTCCCAGCCCCTGTGCCCTGATTTCTCTTCTCAGAAGGTCTTTGGTCAGGGGGCAGGGCCAGCCCCAGGGACAGTGCCAGGCGTAGGCCAAGATGCTGGGATYGATGCCAAGCGGGTCCCGCAGGATGGGAGAAACTGACAGGAGGTAAGCAGCCCCTTTCCTCAGGGTGGGGAGGCTGGACTCAGGCCTGGGCTGGCTTGAACGGTCATTTCCAAATGCTGTTCATCTCTCTTGCTCCTCTGCTGAGAGCCATAGCMGAGTCCGAATGAGGCATGGCATTTTTGCCAGAACAGAGTGGTTGAGAGGTGACGCCAGCAAGCCATTGAGATGATAATGGTTATGTTAAGCTGTGTATATTAGACCCCTGCTACTTTGGAGTTCTCGCAGGGATTCCTGGAGAGTTCCCATTGGTTGGGGAAGTGCGGGAGGAGGGATTTCTGGTTGGTGGTTCCTGGAGRAGCAGAGTGTGTGGCGTTTGGGAGGGTTCCCAGGGAGCGTGTGTGGAGTGTGCTGGTGGAGTTCAGAAATAAAGTTTGTTCCTGCTTCAGTGGCTCGTGACTGYGGCACTCCCTAGATACCCTCGGCACAATGGGACCCAGGGAAACCTCCTCTCCAGAGGCCACCCATTTGCCTTCCTGCCCTAGTGACAGCACACTCCATGCACAGTTCAAGGGAAAATGGAAGGCTTCCTGAAGTCCCACTGTGCGCTCTCTGCTCAGCACCTGTCCCTCCCAGAGGTGGGAGACAGGGTAGAGAGCTGCGTGGAAGGAGCTATTATCAGAGACACCAGCAGGGACCACCGGTCAGCAAGGGATTTGGGCCTTGAATAGAGCAACTGGGACTCACAGAGAAGAGTTCCCCTAAGGACCTTGCATCCCTCCCCCTATAGGCCTCCAGAAGTCCTGCTGGGGACTTCCTGGCCCTTGGGTGAAACTTATGCCAAGACCCTCACTCTGCTGGTATTTTTTTTTTTTAAATAAACTTATTTCCAGAGCAATTTTGGGTTCACAGCAAAATTGAGGAGAAATAGCAGGGTTCCCATATGCTTCCATGCTGTCCCCCCTCAACTTTCCCCACTCTCAAGGACCCCCTCAGAGAAGTGCATTTGTTACGGCCGATGGACCTACATGGACTGCCGAGGTCCGTGGTCCTCATTCGGGTTCCCCCTTGGCTCTGTGCCTTAATGGCCTGTACCCACCATTATATCCCATGGAAGAACTTCCCTGCCCCCCTCCAAATTCTCCACCTATTCATCCTTCCCTTCTGGTCATTTTTAAGCACCCCCCCCACCCCTGAAAAAAAAAAGTTTATTCTGAAAGAAGCTTCAGTAATTAGCACAGGGAAGGAGGGGTCCATTTTAAAGTGAAGCTTCCTTCCCAGACCCTTGGATCTGAGCCTCTCAAGGGACAGAAGGGACAGGCTGGCTTGCTTCCTTTGCTTTGCCATCTCCACCTGCCAGCTGTGGCGTGGGAAGCCAGGCTGGAGCAGGGGAGAGAGGAGGAAGGAGAGGGGAGGTCTTCCTGTGCCCCCTGGGGTTCTAGCTGGGGTTCCTTCATAGGGCGCTGCTGTGGGCTCTTTCACCCGTAGATTCCTGGACAGGCCCATGTGTCTCTTTCCTGGGCAGCTGCTCCTGCTCCTCCTTTGGCCCCCAAGCCCTTTACAATCCACTTCTTATTTTCTTCTGTGAACATCTGCAGCGCCAGGCAGCCTCTTTGGACAGGATCAATAGCAACAACCTGAGCCCACTGCCTCACAGATGTGTAGTGACATCCAGTCCTCGGGGAACACTCACCCACGAGTCTCACGTGGCCCTGGTGGCTCCCGTACAGCTACCARCAGACTAGCTGATCAGTTTTGGAGTTGAGTCAGACATAGTGGCTGCCTCTTCCAAACTGCAGGGGACACTGGACAAGCTCTCCAAGTCCTGACACTGAAGCTTGTCTCCCTGGGCTTGAGGTAAGGGATGTGTCCACTCCCCCATCCCCTAGGATCACAGCAGACCAACAGCTGTCTCCTGAATCCTCTCCACAACTTCATGCCCTTGAGGGTAATAAGGGTTAAAGCAACAGCAACAGAAAAAAAGTTTTGCCCCCTCCCTGCTTTGCTGTACACCGGTCCCCACTGGTCTGGAACACGGCATCTATTTTCTTAGGACTTGCATGAGTTAATGTTCACTTGAAGACAACAAAATACAGTCTACCTATTTTAAGTAGAAGGGGATTTTTACTTATTTATTTTGGTACTGGGGATTGAACCCAGAGGTGCTTAACTACTGAGCCACATCCCCAGTTCTTTTTTATATTTTATTCAGAGACAGAGTCTCCCTAAGTTGTTTAGGGCCTCTCTAAGTTGCAGAGGCTGGCTTTGAACTCACAATTAGAAGACGATTTTTTTTTTTAATGCATGTTTTTTTTTTTAATTGTAGTTGGACACAATAGCTTTATTTATTTATTTATTTATTTTTATATGGTGTTGAGCATTGAACCCAGGGCCTTGCCGGTGCTAGGTGAGTACTCTACCGCTGAGCCACAATCCCAGCTCCTAGAAGGGGATTTTTAAAAAATAGAGTATTAAATGGTTTACAGCATCAGATCCAACCATCAGATCTGGGAATGACTCCCACAGTCGCACTACAGCATGGGACTATTAAGGGGCTACCAGTCTGGCATTAGAGGAATCTGGAAAGTTCCCCCAACAGGAAGCTGCTGGCACAGCACTGGCTGTAGAAACAGTTCAGACTTGACTCAGGGTTTGCTGGCAAAATGTGTGCCTTGCTTCCCAGTTAACTTGGCCCCAAACTTTAGTCTCGTGTGAATGTGTTTGGTGGGTGGAGTCCAAAATATCTGGAGGCCCAGCTGCCAGTGAGTGTGAGAAATGATTTTGCAGACTGTAGGCTGAAGAAAAGCCCATGAGAGGGGGGTGGGAATGAAAGTCAAGTCCACAGCACGCACCCAAAACGATYGCAGTTGAAATGGACACAAAGATGATTCAAACTAAAATTCAGAGTTTTATTGTTTCTTGTATGGTCAATGAAAGACAAATATAATTAAGTGGAAAATAAACATCCACTCTYGGTCTTATTATTCCAAATAAACACTATTGTTCATTTATAAAAGTCATAAGAGCAAGGTCCCAGTTACCCAATAGCACATTGGGCACAATGTGATATACAACCCTGGAGGCATAAAAAGAGACAGATGCAGAGGACGAATTCCTACTTTTCCTGTTCCAGGATTTATGACACTTTTCTTGGAAACTTCGTGGTATCTGAGAAAATGACTTCTGTTTATCACCAGTCTTCTTTAATCTATTCCTGGGACACCCACATGATCGCTAATCAGTCAGTGACGTGGCAAAATTCAGCTTCCAAGGCGGTCACGTCAGTGAAAATCGTTCCGTTTTAGCATCCCAAAAGTTTTTGAAAACTTGTAAAACTGGAAATGATTGCTTTTGGAGCCAAGGCCAGGTCTTTTAGGATAGAGGCCAGTCTTCAAGGACTGGAGTCCTCTATGGAGCTTGAAGCCAAGTGATCATCTCATCTACTGCCTTGCCTTGAAGCCTCTTGCTGGCTTAGGACTGTCCATCTGTCAAGTGTCCTGGCCTGTCTCCTGTCCAGGCTCCCTCAGCCCAACCATACCTCCTAATGAAATTTGCTGAGAACAGAGCCAGATGTTTGGCACTTGAAGGCCAAGTGTGGAATCCCCTCTTCTCCTACATGCTGTGCACTTGGGGAGAAGCCAGTTCCTCTCCCAGGCTGGCCCTCTGCCCTCTCAATCACATAATAAAGGAACACCTACCTGCAGGAAGATGGGAAGGTTGATTTCTTTCTTTTCTTTTTTTTTTTTTTTAAATAGTATCTATTTATTTTCATTTTTTTAGTTGTAGTTGGACACAATACCCTTTTTCATTTGTTTTTATGTGGTGCTGAGGATCAAATCCAGTGCCTCACACATGCAAGGCAGGCGCTCTACCACTGAGCTACAGCCCCAGCCCCATGGGAAGGTTAATTTCAATGCAGGTAGGTGAACGTGCTCTGTTTTAGATTTTTTTTTTTTTTTTTTTTTTTTTGAGATGAGATGTTGCCACATTTTGCCAGCCGACTCCAAACTCCTGGGCTCAAGCTATCCTCCTGCCTCAGCCTCCCGAGTAGCTGGGACTAGAGGTGCACACAAAGTGCTGTTTCAGCTTTAGCGGTTTTTGTCTTTTTTCAAAACCTTCAAGCGCCCAAAACGGAGTCAGCATACTCCTTATTTCAGGGCCTTCATTTACCTGTGGAAATTCTTTGCACTTGTTCAGTTTAATGTGTTTTTAAATATTTCCCACCTTCTCCCTCTGGCTCCATTCTACGCGTTCCCCCCTCCTTGGCATCTTTATTCTGTACATCTTTTCAATCCACTTTCCTAGACTTACTTGCACTTATGTAGATCCTTGAACATKTATAGAATTAATTTTGTGGCTTTATTTTCAGACAAATTTCACTCAACTGTATTAAAAAACCTGCAAATCAAGAGAAAAGCTGTCCTGCATACCCATCTTGCACACCACCCTTGTGTCATCTGTCACCATGAGAGTGGCTTTGCGACTCTGTCAATAGCAGTTGATGGTCAAGTGGAATCTAGGAGGAAAAGACAACAGACAGGAGAGCAGTAGGGAGACTGTTAGAGGAGAAAGGGACCCAGCGGGAGAGGAGGAGAGGGGAAGGTTAGGGGGTGGAGATCAAGGTATGTTCACTGCCTGTATGAATGTTCCACAATGAACCCATTCTTCTGTGTAATTGAAATGCACTAATAAAATTTTTGTTCTCAAATTTCTATCCTGTCTTTTCCTGCTGTGGGGGAAAAAATAAAAGCAAGACTAATTTGTCTCCATGTGCAATTCATTCCAACATTTCTTTATATCACATAAACTGTAC